ATTTTTTTGCAAAATTTATGCATCAAGATTGAAAATGATAGTAAGTTTAATGAATTCAATGAATCAGTTTTTATAATTAAAGGAGAAGTTTTGATGAAAAACAAAATTTGAATTGATAAATTAACTTATCTTAGATCCTTATATCAAGATGAATCATATAAAAATATATCTTTCGATTCATTGATCAATATTATGTTTCGAAGCAATTTTATGAATAAGTACACTTGAGAAATTATTCACTATGATAAAATAAAAGTTTCTTAAATTTTTTATAAAAGGAAAAAAACAATAAATGATGATATCACTTCACATTTCTTTTTATTTAGTTTCAACTTATTTGTACATATTTGTATAATAGAAAAGTCTGTCTTCCCACCGAATTCCAGCGTCGGATCAATGATTCTAGATTGCTCTCACATGTATAAAGAGACGTCAATTTCTTGTTTTAATCATTTTGAAGACGATATTTTAAAAATAAAAATCCCATGACATAAGATGAAAGAAAAATAAATGAAAAATAAAAGAATATTAAAAAAATTATTTTCATTTATCATTCAGAATAGAGGAGTCTAAAAAGAAAAAAACTATTATTTTCAAATTTAATCTTCAATTTAACCGAATGAATTCATCATTGTATGATAAAAAGAAACACATATATAAAATATTGCAGATAAATTTTGAAATATAATTAAAGGTTTTGTTCTCATCGTTGATTTCTCTAAATGTAAGTGTTCAATCCACACAGTGTATATACAAGATAAAAATTATTTTTCGTCGACGACGATATGATATTAATGTACGTCAGACGAGAAAAAAAAATATACACATATCACTACCTAAAAATTGATCATCAAATCAATTATGTAGTGTTATGTGTTGAATAATTGATAAGAAAATCAATTAAAATCATGAGCATCGATCAATTAATCTGAGGGTGTATAAAAACATGACTACATCATCATGAAACAATACACTCGAGTTGTATCATTACAATGTATTTATATACCCGGGTTAATTATTATTATGATATTATTTACAATGATACTGATATATTGTATTATATTTGAGGTAAATTAATTCATTTTATATTTAAAATTATACTTTCTTTTTTAGATGAGCTACGATACGATATAACATTGAGAGATAGGAGAAAAAAAATTTTTTTACATGTTGAGTTGAGTTGAGATAACTTATTTTGAGAGAAAATAAACACTGTCAGTCATTATGAGTATAAGTATGAGTACGTTTGAGATGAAATGAGTTGAGTTATAGATGTTATCAGTGTGGGTCAGAGAGCTATGTTGTCTGACTCAATAGGTAGAGGAACTTTCTTGCCATAGCGAAGCAGTGAAGTACTAGGGAAGGTCTCTATGAGTCGTTGGTCCCTACCGTTCATACGGCATACTTTCGACCATTGCCCTACCAGTCGGGCGTGGTCCGCCTGTGGTACCTATGGTATTGACAAGGGATCTCTCCCTTGTCGCGCGCGCGCGAATAAGCCAAAATGAGCAGAGAAAAATCGAAACGATTAGCAATGTGAATAAATTTATTGAGCAAGCGAAAAGAAAAAATTACAGTTACATTCTCTTTTTTACATTGTCAATTGAGTTTGTGACAGTTTTAATATTAGGATGGTTAGGTGGAAGTGATTTTTGCCATATAGAAAGTGCCTTTTCTAAGAATGAGAGTGCTTTCGAGTAGTCTCCTTTGCCGAGATACGCCATACCGATGTTGTTGTAGGAAATAGCCAAATCGGGATGATTTGGAGGCAGAGCTATTTCTCTTATTTTAAGTGATTTTTCGTAAAATTCAAGTGCTTTCGAGTAGTCACCCATATCGTCATACACTCCACCGATGTTGTTGTAGGAAGTAGCCAATGAGGGATGATTTGGAGGCAGAGCTTTTTCTCTGATTTTATGTGATTTTTCGTAAAATTCAAGTGCTTTCGAGTAGTCACCCATGTTGTGATACACCAAACCGATGTTGTTGTAGGAACTAGCCAAATGAGGATGATTTGAAGGCAGAGCTTTTTCGAGGATTTTAAGTGATTTTTCGTAAAATTCAAGTGCTTTCGAGTAGTCACCCATGTTCTTATACACTCCACCGATGTTGTTGTAGGAAGTAGCCAAATCGGGATGATTCGGAGGCAGAGCTTTTTCGAAGATTTGATGTGATTTTTCGTAAAATTCAAGTGCTTTCGAGTAGTCACCCATGTTCTCATACACGAGACCGATGTTGCTGTACGAATAAGCCAAATTGGGATGATTCGGAGGCAGAGCTTTTTCGAGGATTTTAAGTGCTTTTTCGTAAAATTCAAGTGCTTTCGAGTAGTCACCCATGTTGTTATACACTCCAACGATGTTGTTGTAAGAAGTAGCCAAATCGGGATGATTCGGAGGCAGAGCTTTTTCTCTTATTTCAAGTGCTTTTTCGTAAAATTCAAGTGCTTTCGAGTAGTCACCCATGTTGTGATACACCGAACCGACGCTGTTGCAAGAAGTAGCCAATGAGGAATGATTCGAAGGCAGAGCTTTTTCGTATATTTTATGTGCTTTTTCGTGAAATTCAAGTGCTTTCGAGTAGTCACCCATATTGTTATACACTTGACCGATGTTTTTATAAAAAGCAGCCAAATTGGGATGATTTGGAGGCAGAGCTTTTTCGTGGATTTTATGTGCTTTTTCGTAAAATTCAAGTGCTTTCGAGTAGTCACCCATGTTGTCATACACGAGACCGACGCTGTTGTAGGATTGAGCCAAATCCGGATGATTCGAAGGCAGAGCTTTTTCTCTGATTTGATATGATTTTTCGCAAAATTCAAGTGCTTTCGAGTAGTTACCCATGTTGTCATACACGAGACCGAAGTTGTTGTAGGATTGAGCCAAATCGGGATGATTCGGAGGCAGAGCTTTTTTCGTGATTTCGAGATCTTTTTCGTAAAATTCAAGTGCTTTCGAGTAGTCACCCATTTTGTCATACAGGAGACCGATGTTGTTGTAGGAAGCAGCCAGTGAAGGATGATCTGCTGGAAGAGTTTTTCCCTTGATCTCGAGACATTTTTCTTGAAATGATGCTGCTTCGTCGTATAATCCTTGATGGTGTTTCAGCACTGCAAGATTGTTGTAAAATGTAGCTCTAGTATCGTCGTTGAAGGTTTGTTCGAGTAGTGTGATATACAATTTCTCGGCCTTGCTATATTGTCCTATTTTAAATAGCAACGTACCCAATCGTCCCCAACATGGCTGATGTGAATCTTCTCCTAGGATGCTTTCTGTGAGTTGACGCAATTGCTGGTCTTCATCTGACGTCAGTTTAAGTTCTACTTGATATAGTAAACTTTCATTGTCAAGTTTTCGAATTTCACCAATTCGAAAAACGGTGTGCATCGAGAAGAGGATTTCACTTTCTTCCGCGAAATTACTCATTTCCCGTATAGAGGCAAATGGACTTGATAAGATGGTGGGATCTATCGATATTTGAAATAGGATGCCCACCATACTGGGTTTTCCTATGGCACCTCTGGCAAAACCGAGAGAGACAGCTCGATTTGTACTGGTGGATAAGAAATTATTGAAGGAGATAAGTCCACCTTTGTTCTTCTGGAGTTTGTCGAAGCCGACTGTGGATAATCCTTGTTCCCGAAAAACTTCAAAGATCTCTCCATGATAAAGACTGATCTGTTGTTTGTGTAAACTATCGATTTGTCGATGCAAATCAGCAAGAAAAAAACCCATTCTTATAATTGTCTCGCCATCGAGGGTTCAAAGAGACTGGTTGAGCATTTCATAGAGAAAACACTCACGACTGTACCACCAAATTGCTGATTGATCACTATATTGAAGTTCGAACTCAGCGATATCTTTTGCTTTAGCTTTGTTATTCTTGTATTCGTTTCGCCAAAGTTGAATAAAATCCTTCTTGGCTTGTTCACCATGTTTCATATCAAGAAGAATTTCCTTGAATATTTGGGAGTACATGAATGAGGCTTCAAGCTGATTGAGATCTTTGCTGGAATCTTCTTCGTTTACACTGATAATGCTTACAGATATGTCATCTTTATTGCATTGCTTGACAGCCATTTGCAATGCATCGCAGATAAGCGGAATTTCTGTGTATGGACCCTTAACTTTGTTCCAATGACTACTCCAATCTTCTTGTGAAGCTTTGCTACTGCAATCGATGTAGATGCTATCAAGTTGAGGAATATCATGGATGAGGGGTATCATTTGTTGGCCCATAGTATCCGATACAATGAGAAATGCCTTTTGATTATCGACTTCAGTGAGAAAGTCAACACATTCATCACGTTGTGTAAACGTATAGACTTCATTAGCTATGCTTTGCAGTTGTTCGAGTGTATTTTGGTAATCTTTATTTGCTGGATCAATGTTTTCTTTGACCCAGAGGATCAAATAATTTTGAGTGATGTACCGTGTTGATCGCATGATAGTCGATGGGACTGTTGTATTTGGATTGGTATCCATTGTTAGTTTGGAAATATTTT